ATCCATCCATCCATCCATCCATCCATCTCTCCATCTCTGAAGGCATCACTCGACCTTCTCCCCACCAGTCCCACCATCCATCCGTCCATCCCACCATCCACCCACCCATCCATCCGCCTCTGGAGACTCCATCCAACCTTCAATCCATCCATCCATCCATCCATCCATCCATCCATCCATCCATCTCTCCATCTCTGAAGGCATCACTCGACCTTCTCCCCACCGGTCCCACCATCCATCCGTCCATCCCACCAACTCTCCATCCATCCATCCACCTCTGGAGACTCCATCCCACCTCCCATCCATCCATCCATCCCACCATCCTTCTCTCCATCCATCCATCCATCCATCCATCCATCCCTCCATCTCTGAAGGCATCACTCGACCTTCTCCCCACCGGTCCCACCATCCATCCGTCCATCCCACCAACTCTCCATCCATCCATCCACCTCTAGAGACTCCATCCCACCTCCCATCCATCCATCCATCCCACCATCCTTCTCTCCATCCATCCATCTATTCATCTCTCCATCTCTGAAGGCATCACTCGACCTTCTCCCCACCGGTCCCACCATCCATCCATCCATCCCACCATCCACCCGTCCATCCATCCATGTCTGTAGACTCCATCCAACCTTCAATCCATCCATCCACCCACCCATCCATCCATCTCTGTAGGCATCACCCAACCTTCTCTCCATCCACCCCACCCGATTGTCCATCCTTCCACCCATCTCGCCCTCCATCCGTCCATCTCTGTAGACTCCATCCAACCTTCCATCCCTCCATCCTTCCATCCCTCCATCCCACCGTCCCTCCATCTCTGTAGGCACCACCCAACCTTCTCCCCATCCATTCCACCATCCGTCTGTCCGTCCCACCGTCTCTCCATCCATCCCTCCATCTCTGTAGACTCCAACCCACCTTCTCTCCACCCGTCCCACCACCAATAACCCCCACCTGCTGCCTTTGACCTCCAAACCCACCTCCCAGGGCTGGAGGACACCTCTGACCCCACCCAACCCCCTGAAGAAGAGGCCACCGTGGACCCCATGGAAGGCTTGGGAGATGTCCCTCAAACCCTGAGGAGATGTCCTTCAAAGCCTGAGGAGGTGTCCCTCAAACCCTGAGGAGGTGTCCCTCAAACCTTGAGGAGATGGTCCTCAAACCCTGAGGAGATGGTCCTCAAACCCTGAGGAGATGGTCCTCAAACCCTGAGGAGATGGTCCTCAAACCCTGAGGAGATGTCCCTCAAACCCTGAGGAGATGCTCCTCGAGGTGGACCCATGGCCGGATGGATGGATGGAAGGATGGATGGAAGGATGGATGGAGAAGACCCCGGTGGGGTTTCTCTTGCCCTGAGCTTGCGTTGGACTTTTGGGCGAGGTGTTCCACCTCCGACCTTCCTCCTTGGTGGCCCCACCCTCCACCTTCTCCCCCAGCTCCTGGTGGTGTCCCCTCCCACCCCTTCCTTGTCCCGAGACACCACGCGGTGGAGACCCGGAGCTGCACCCGCTCGGCCTTTATTGAAGCTCAAAAAAAAGATCTCGGGGGCGGCCACAGAGGTCTTCTCCAAAGCGGTGGGATTGGGGGGTGGGGGGTTGGAGATGTGTCCTCCTCCCCTTTTATTTACCGGGGTTCTTCTGGATTTGACGTTGGGTGAACTTCATGGGCAACCCTTCGTGGACCACCATGCAGGTGTAGATGTCTCCTCGCAACCAGTTGGCCTTGAGGACCGTCATCTTGCTGTAGATGAAGAAGGTGGAGGTGGCGGTGGGACCTTCTCTGAGGGGCGGAGTGGTGACGTAGTCCTCCGTCGGGACGTTCTGGTGGTTCTTCAACCATTGGACCTCCACGTTCTCCGGTTGGAAAGCCCGAACCAAACAGGTGAGGGTCACCTCCGAGTGGGACATCTCCTCGGGGTGGGGGGGGAAGAGGAAGATGAGGGGTGGGGTGACCTTGCCTAGAAGAAAGCCAAGAGGTTGGACCGTAAATGGTGGTGGTGGACCATCAGTGGGGACAGAGGACCATCAATGGGGACGGAGGACCATCAATGGGGACGATGGTCCATAAATGGTGATGGTGGACCATCAATGGGGAGAGAGGACCATCAATGGTGATGGTGGACCATCAATGGGGACAGAGGACCCTAAAAGGGGACGGTGGACCATCAGTGGGGATGGTGGACCATCAATGGTGATGGTGGACCATAAATGGGGATGGTGGACCATCAATGGGGAGAGAGGACCCTAAAAGGGGATGGTGGACCCTAAATGGTGATGGTGGACCATCAACGGTGATGGTGGACCATCAATGGGGACAGAGGACCATCAATGGGGACAGAGGACCATCAATGGTGATGGTGGACCATAAATGGGGATGGTGGACCATCAATGGGGAGAGAGGACCATAAATGGTGATGGTGGACCATCAATGGGCAGAGAGGACCCTAAATGGTGATGGTGGACCATCAATGGTGACGGTGGACCATCAATGGGAAGAGAGGACCCTAAACGGGGACGGTGGACCTTCCCGGAGGTGGGTTTGGAGGAGAAGACAACTCACCGGTACGTCTGGAGATGCTCTTGTTGAGGGGCACCTGGAGGTCGGAGTGTTTGACCGTACAGGTGAAACGTTCTCCATTTTCCCAGTCTTGGGTGGAGATGCTCAAGGTACTGGTGGCCGTGAAGGTCCCGTTGAACTGCTCCCGGAGGTCCAAGAGGTCCGGGTGGAGGACCCCCGGTTTCTCCTTGACCCACGAGAGTTGGAAGCCCGAGTCGCTGGGGAGGTTGGTGGCCAAACAACGGACCTTGGGGTGACGGGTGATGTAGAGGTCGGCCACCGCCGGCGGGAGGACGTAGAGACGGATGTTGTTGACGTTGAGGTTCTCCAGACCTGAGGGGGAGAAGGTCACGGGGGTGGTGGCCAAGGGACCTTCTCCAGAACCAGCAGCAGATGGTTCTACTACCTTCTCCCACTGGTGCCGCCACCACGGTGCTGGGATCTTCTCCAGTGCCACCACCATGACCACATGACCTTCTCCAGTGCCACCACTGTGACCATGAGACCTTCTCCCATGGTGGGACCCATCGTGGTCATGAGACCTTCTCCAGTGGTACCACCACCATGACCGCACGACCTTCTCCAGTGCCACCACCATGACCACGTGACCTTCTCCAGTGCCACCACCATCACCATGAGACCTTCTCCCATGGTGGGACCCTTCATGGTCATGAGACCTTCTCCAGTGGTGCCACCACCATGACCGCATGACCTTCTCCAGTGCCACCACCGTGACCGTGAGACCTTCTCCCATGGTGGGACCCATCGTGGTCGTCCCACCATCTCCCCTGGTGCCACCACCATGACAATATGACCTTCTCCAGTGCCACCACCATGACCATGAGACCTTCTCCCCAGGTGACACCACCATGGTCCTCTGACCTTCTCCCCTGGTGCCACCACCCTGATTTCATGACCTTCTCCAGTGCCACCACCATCACCATGAGACTTTCTCCCATGGTGGGACCCATCGTGGTCCTCCCACCATCTCCCCTGGTGCCACCACCATGACAATATGACCTTCTCCAGTGCCACCACCATGACCACGTGACCTTCTCCAGTGCCACCACCATCACCATGAGACCTTCTCCCCTGGTGGAACCCATCGCGGTCATGAGACCTCCTCCAGTGGCTCCACCACGACCCGTCAGACCTTCTCCCCCGGGTTCCACCACCATGACCACGTGACCTTCTCCAGTGCCACCACCATCACCATGAGACCTTCTCCCATGGTGGGACCCATCGTGGTCCTCCCACCATCTCCACTGGTGCCACCGCCACGATAATATGACCTTCTCCAGTGGCACCACCGTGACCATGAGACCTTCTCCCGGGTTCCACCACCATGACCACGTGACCTCCTCCGTCGGAGTGGGACGGGACCCGCCGTAACCACCAAATCTCCCCTCTCCCCCCTCATTGGTCGCCGCGCTTACGCACGCCCACTCTCATTGGTTGAAGGCAGCTGGAATTTATTATCTACTCTTTAGCCCTATTTCTGCCGAGTCGGCGCTTTCCGCCCCGTCGCTCGGGGACCAGCGGTGGCTTCAGCGTCAACGCGGTGGTCTTCTCCTTCCCCTTGACCTCCGGGACGTGGCCGTCGTCTTCCAAAAAACCTTCCCGCCGTTCCCCCTTTTTGGCTTTTTTTGGGCTTTTTTGGTGGTTTTGGGGTTTTTTTTTTTGGTTTTTTAGAGGTTTTTGGGGGTTTTTTTGGTGTTTTTTGGAGGTTTTTTGGTGGGTTTTGGGGGTTTTTTGGTGGTTTTTTGGAGGTTTTTTGGTGGGTTTTGG